TCAGCCTCCCCAGTAGCTGGGATCATAGGCGCACACCACCACGCCCGGTTAATTTTTTGTATTTTTAGTAGAGATGGGGTCTCAAACTCCTGAACTCATGATCCGCCCGCCTCAGCTTCCCAAAGTGCTGGGATTACAGTTGTGAGCCACCACGCCTGGCCTTTCAACAGCTTATTTTAAGGTGATTTTATCTGTTTAATCCTCAGCTTTGTTCCAAAGAGGGGAAGGTGGTGATAGTTTCTTGCCCACTGATGTGTGCCAGACAGAGTGCCCGGCACGGGTGCAGAGGTGAATCAGATGACAGCTCCCTCTCACCATGTGGGGTGGCTGAAAATGTGACTGGACTATAGGCAATCCTGGCCTTGGCAGGTGAGACCAGGTGTTGTACTGAGGGAGGCCTTCCCTAGCTCATCTTCTGGTCACCTCCACAGGTGAGCTCTACTGTGGCCTGGAGGAAACTGTGATCCATAGAGGGCATGTGGGGCCTGGTCCCCTCATTTTAGCTCAGCTTCTAGGACAGAGAGACCCACTCCCTGCAGCTTCACAGCTATTCTGAAGGGTTGGGATAAAAAGAGAAGATGGACGCCAGGCGTGGTGGCTTATGCCTGTAATCCCAGCACTTTGGGAGGCTGAGGTGGGTTGATCACCTGAGGTCAGGAGTTCGAGACCAGCCTGGCCAACATGGTGAAACCTCGTTTCTACTAAAAATACAAAAAATTAGCCACATGTGGTGGCAGGCATCTGTAATCCCAGCTGCTCGGGAGGCTGGGGCAAGATAATTGCTTGAACCTGGGAGGCAGAGGTTGCAGTGAGCTGAGACCACACCATTGCATTCCAGCCTGGGCAACAAGAGTGAAACTCCATCTCAAAAAAAAAAAAAGAGGAGATGGGAGAAAGAATCAATGGGAAAGACCGGAATGTGGAGAATGTTGCCAAATGCCAATTTACTACCTTAATTTCCTGACCAGATTTGACCGTTTGATGTCTGTAGCTCTCCTCCCACTCACACACGTGCTGGTGGCCTTCCTAGAAGGGAAATAGGAGGGCCTCGAGGTCCCTGGTCCTAAGGGATGTCATTCTAAGCATGTTTTAGACTGGAAGGTTAATCTTTTTCCTTCTTGTGCCCTCCACACCCCTTCAGAAAAGTTTGCGCTCTCTCTGAACCCTGCAGCATGTTTTCAGAGGCTGTTAGTTGCCAGATTCTGCGGTGAGCTGTGGATGGGAGGGAATTCAATAGTGGGTGGGTGTGGAGATAGAAAGGGAGCAGGAGTGTGACTCTGCCTTCCCTGTTGTACAATCATATAGTGATGTGATAAAACCAAGGGAGAAACAGTTCCTCTCACCCATGCTCTCCTTGAGGCTCTCCCTCTGATGTAAGCTCTAAGTACTGCTCCTTTTACTGGAGTTCAATTCCTGACTAAAGAAAGTGTACTTATGGGCTGGGCGTGGTGGCTTATGCCTGTACACCTAGCACTTTGGGAGGCCGAGGCAGGCAGATTACCTGAGGTTGGAAGTTCAAGACCAGCTTGGCCAACATGGTGAAACCCCATCTCTACTAAAAATACAAAAAATTAGCCAGGCACGATGGCTCATGCCTGTAATCCCAGCACTTTGGGAGGCTGAGACAGGTGGATCACCTGAGATCAGGAGTTTGAGACCAGCCTGGCCAACATAGTGAAACTCCTTCTCTACAAAAAATACAAAAAATTAGCTGGCTATGGTGGCAGGCGCCTGTAATCCCAGCTACTAGGGAGGCTGAGGCAGGAGAATCACTTGAACCCGGGAGGCAAAGTTTGCGGAGAGCTGAGATCATGCCATTGCACTCCAGCCTGGGCAACAAGAGCAAAACTCCATCTTAAAAATTATATATACAAAAAATTAGCCGGGTGCCTAGATCTTGATTTCTAAATTGTATTCTCCAATAAAAGAAACCAAAAACCCTTATAGCTACTCTGGAAGCTGAGGCAGGAGGCGGAGGTTGCGGCGAGCCAAGATCTCACCACTACACTCCAGCCTAGGCTATAGAGCGAGACTTCCTCTCAAAAAAAAAAAAAAAAAAAAAAGAAAGAAAGAAAGAAAGAAAAGAAAGAGTACAAATGGCCAACAAATGCATGGGAACACGGTCTACCTCATTTGAAACCAGAGAAGCCAATTAAGATGGCAATAATACAATAATGAGCAGGTTTAGACAATTTTAAATGTGCATAATCAGCAATTCTGATTCTAGAAATGTATAAAAAATCATTGAATCAATGTGTCAAGATAAATGTGTTAGGGTATTTTTGAATCACTGATTCGAACAGACGTTTATTAGCATGGGGTTGCTTAATAAGTTATAAAGTATATATAGGCTGAAATGTTTGCCTCTTTGTTTCCTCCCTGTTTCACCAAAACCCACGTGGTCTTGGCCTCATCACAGCCTCTGGCACCCCCGACTATCATGGCCAAACGCTGGACATCCCTGTTGTGGGGGCTGCAAACAACCCAGGAACGGGTACCAAGAATGTGGGGGAGGGTGGGGAGGCACTGAACCAGCAGCTTCCCAAAAGGAGTGATGTGCTTCCCGAGGTCTATTCATAGAAGGCTACTCCAGAACAGTCTTCTGTGGATCCTGGCTGTTCTGGTGTCTGAAGAGGGTATGGTACACCTCACTGGGTCTGGCTGAATTCCTGAATTACAGGCAATGAGGTTGAAAAAAGAAAAAAGAAAAAAAGGGAAAAAAATTCTGCCCAGCATCTGAGATGGACGCTGCTGTTTGGGGAAGCCAGCACCCATTCTCCCTTTCCCTGGCAATAATGTCAGTGTTCCTTTGGACAAGCACTGTTTCACACTTCCAGCCCCTGAAGTTCAGGTGAGGCTGGCGCTACTCCTTTGTCCTAGACGTCACTACTTCCAAGTCAATCCCTGGGACTTCTGCTAGCATTACCAAGACTTTCTCCACTTAAGCCCTCCAAGGAGATGTGGGCAGGGTACAAGCGAAAGTGCAGGAATCCTGTGTTAGCAGTGGCTGAACTTAGGCCAGGTCAGGCAAGGAGAGGGAAGGGATTCTGGGCCCTGGAAGGAGAGTCATATAGAGGAGCCTACCCTGTTGAATGGATGGAGATGACAATTTCCAAGGTTTCTTGAGGCAAAAAGACCAAGATAAGGCTGGGACTGAGGGGAGATCCATGCAGCAGGAGCCAGGTGGTAAAGACAGAGGGACAGAGAAGGCTAGTACGGATTTTATTCTAAATGGCCTGTACATAAAAGCCACCACAGAATAGTTTTATTTATTTATTTTATTTTTATTAATCTTCCTCTGAACACAGAACACATACTTTTACTGTTTTTTGTTGTTAATGGTGGTTTTTTTTTTTTTTTTTTTTTATCTCTTTAGAGACAGGGTCTTACTCTGTCACTCAGGCTTCAGTGCAGTGGCAGGATCATAGCTCACTGCTGCCTCTAACTCCTGGACTCAAGCAATCCTCTAGGCATGGGCCAGCACATCCAGCCTAGAGTTTTGTTTGTTTCTTTGTTTTCTAAGTTTAAGTTATTTATTTAAGCCATCTCCTGCCACAAGCAAAGCGATGGAAGATCAGCATGCCAGTCATCATTTGACACAGGTAAAGAAGGTGAGCCTAAGGTCCCGTATTTTTTTCTGGTCCGTGTGCTGAGTAATGGTCCAAACCAGTGCTGTGGTCCCTGGTGCCTGGGTAGCGGTCCAGATTCTCTTCATCTTCACAGCCAGTTGGAAGTGGATTCACATGAGGGCTGTGAAATAGAGTATGGCTACTATCTCCCCAGGGATACGGTTTGGTCCTGATGTGGAGATGGGGGTAGGGGCTGAACTTGGGTTTCTTGTGTTCTCCATGGTGTGACTTCAGGAACACATTCAACATGCTGACTGCCACCCCGGGGAGCGTGAGGAAGAAGGTGAGGGCCTTCCACATGCTAGCCTTTCCCTGTCTGCCATGGGCGCCACTGGACATAAACCACCCCAGCTGTGGGCGAGACCGACCCAGCAGCCGAGAAATCCATGATGCAGCAGCTACCACCATTTTCGCCCTGGACCCCAGCCTAGAGTTTTAATTAGAAGAAGTCAGTAGTCTGATTTGTGTTTTTGGAGGATCACTTTGGATCCAGGGTGGAGAAATGTATTGGATATGGGGACAAAGTCAGAAGTAGAAAAAGCCCTTAGGAAGAGGAGATAGTGTTCTTGAGGAAGGGGGTAGTGGAGAGGGACAAAGTGGCAAGAGTTAGGTGCTAAGATACAAGACAAAGGGCCAGGAGGAGTGCGGTGAAAAGCTGGATAGCTTGGGCTACTGAGCTTCTCTGAGCCTCAGTATCCTCTTCCATAAAAATAATATCCACTTCATGAGGGTAGGTTAGACAACGGTAGTAGCTGAGAGCGTTGTTTTTAGTCAGATCTGGATTTGGATCTCGGGTCTGGCAGGTGACAGCTGTGTGACCTTATGAGAGACTGTTAATGATAGCCTTTGTTATGTTTGAACCAACAGAACTCTCCCCACACTAGGATACTTATTCTAGCTTCCTTGGGGGTGGGGGGAAGGTACCGTGGAGAGAGCAAGGCTTTTGTCCAAAGTCCTACTAGTAAATGTGGAGCCAGGATTTCTCTGTCGCGTTCCCCTAACTTTTCTGCGTCTAAAACTGGGATAACAATAATACTGACGCTTACCTGTGTGGTTGGTAGTACACAGAAAGGGGTCTGGCACATAGCAGGTACTTATTAAATTATTAAAATTATTATTATTATATTCTTTGTGTTTTCCTGAATTTTTACATGGAGTGAGCATTATTTGGACAAATCCTTTGGATTAAAAAAATACTAAGAGGGGGAAAAAACTGCGGCTGCCAGTCTCAGCAGGGGCTTGGGGCGTGACCAGGGGGCGTGGTCTACGGGGGCAGGGCCACGACTGGAGGGATTGGCTGTGGGGGCGGGGCCAGGGCAAGAGACTTGAGGATTGGGGCGGGGCCCGGGTTGGTGACGCATGCCCAGTGAGGTCCTCTTGGCTGCCGCCGCCGCCGGGGCCACCGCCCACTCGGGGCTGGCCAGCTGCGGGCGGCCGGGGCACAGAGAAGGGCCCGGCTGGGCGAGCGCACGGCCATGGCCCCGTGGCTGCAGCTCTGCTCCGTCTTCTTCACAGTCAACGCCTGCCTCAACGGCTCGCAACTGGCTGTGGCCGCTGGCGGGTCGGGCCGCGCGCGGGGCGCCGACACCTGTGGCTGGAGGGTAAGGCGAGGGCGGCGGGTATCTTGCTGTCGCCAACTCGCGGGGGACGCAGCGCGCACAGGTGCTCGCGGGGAGGCGAGCCCGCGCCAGCCTGTCTGCTCTCGGTGGCTTTCGCTGCCGGCCGGGGTCCCGCTCCTCCCGCGCATCTTCCTGCTTTGCTTTCCCTCCCGGGGCGCGCGTCCTCTGGCCCTCGCCGGGATGAAAGCGTCTGCCGGACCCCGGCTTTGTGTTGCTAATGAGGTGCGGCCGCCGGCCGGGGTCCCTTTCTGAGGGCAGGCGTGAGGGGCGGCGGGGGCTGGGCAGGGCGCCCCACCCTTTGTTCTTCGCCCGGGACCTTCTTAGCCCCTGGGCTGCGTGTCCCGGGCTGGCATCCCCCGAGCCATCCGGACGGGGGAGCGCGCTTTGGAGAGGGAAGGGGGTCTTCTCCCAGACTTCCAGTCCACAGCTCTGCCAAGGCCCGGGCGGCGGGAGAAGGGACCTGGAGCGCCGGGAAGGGATGCGCCGCGCTCTTCTGGTAGCTTTGTTCCTCCTAGCCTGGGGCCGTCACCCCACTCCTAGCCCTCCTCAGACTCCGGGACCTCCTGAGAAACTTTGCCTCCCGGTTCAGTCCTTCGTCTTGTGAAGGTCTCGCGGCTGTTGCCTTCCTTCCCCTCTTCGAGTTGCGGATATTTTTCCGCCAAAGGGCCGTGTGAGTGTCACCTGGGTCAGGTGCCCAAGGCGAGACTGGAGAGGTGCCCAAACTTTGGCCGTGTGCGTGGAGCCGTCTCTCTGGAACCAAGCGCTCCTTCGACACTGTCTCGGCCGTGTGCGCGGGTCACTGCCATCCCCTTCCCGGCTCCTTACCTGGGCTTCTGGGGATTACATCCGTCTGCCCCGAGCTTCCCACAGAGGCAGCATGGGCCTCTCGGGGTACTCACGGCCTTAAGCCTTGTGAAGAAAACGCAGGCTTTGCACTCAGGCAGCAGTGACATGATCTTGGCTCTGCTCCTGGGGAGCCTTGAGCCTCAATTTCTTCATGTGAAAAACGGGATGAAATGAGAATTTCCTTAGTATTGCTGGGCTGAAGGATAGGTATGGAGTGGTTTGCTTAGGCCAACGTTGACTCACCCCTCTTCTGGGTGGCTCCAAACAGCCTCAGCACGGCCAAAACCTAGGACATAACAACGCGCTTAGGGACCGGATTGGTGCCTCCAAGCTCACTTGCACCACAGTCCGAGAAATGTGGTGCAGAAAACCAGGTGTGAGCCAGGCAGCTGGGCTGTCTTCAGACTGAATAGCTAAGCTATGGAGACAGCTACGACGCCCGTCCTCCCTGCCTCACATCCCACGCCCTTGGACTCTATATTTCCTTCCCAGTTGAGTAAAGCATCACATTTTCTTACTCTTCCATTTTAGTAAAACATCACTGCTCTTGTTTTATTGTTTCAAAACAGTTTTAGTAGCTAGCAAGTTTCCTCAAAGCTGTCTCGTGTTGACTTACAGATCCTACCAGAATTTTGGATTTAGACTTTTGCTGGCTTTTGAGTGACTACAGTAGCATCATAGGCGTTTTATTCTGAGTGTTCGTGTGATGGCATAGGTAAAGCAGTCCGATTTGCTGTTTTCCTGCAGTTGCCAAGGTGGCTTCATATGCCAGTGTACAAAACTGGTGAAGTTTTAATGCTGTGGGGTATGATAGTGCCCCGACAGAGCCAGGCTGATGATTTTATTCTAACTGTGGGAGTGTGTTCTCCTCTCCCAAACCTGCACCCTCACAGAATGATGGGTCTGTCCCAGTCACCTAACACTCATGCTGACCTTTTCCCCACCACAACCCCTAGATTGGGGGTAACTTTCTCAACTGCTCCTGCCTTGGCCCCACCAATCCTTTCCTTGGGTCATCTTTATTCCCTTCCTGTATGATCGTAGAGGCCCCTGGGCCATGTCCCAGATTCCAGGCTCATCCAGGCTGTTACATGGTTCCTTCTCCTGGATTTGTTGCTTGGTGCATTTCACGGACCCAGTTTACCCACATGCTTTGCATTCCCATCCTTTTCAGCCTCACTCTTTGCCCCTTGTACCCTGCTCCTAACTCAGGATGGATGCCCTCTGTGCTTTGAAGGCATGCTTTTCCCACCTCCTAGGATGCCTTTTCATCCCTGAGAATTCCTTGCCTAGCTTAAGACTCAGTTCAGGTGGTGCCCCTCAGGGCACTACTGATTGCCATGCCCTTTGCTTTGCCTTCTCATGCAGGTCCTTGCACTTTGGCCTCATCAGACCACATTTTCAGTATTTGTTCACTTCTGTGTCTTCAGACTAGTTTCTTTAGCCAGGTACTGAACCTCATCTTGGTGGTCTCAGAGCCCTGTAAATCCTGGCTGAACCAAATTAGACCTTGCTGCCTTCCTGCTAAATGCTGTATTTCCTGATAGATTTTAAGAAGTAGGGGCAAAGATCAGAGCCTCAAGTTCCATTGTCTTTGCAGCAGGCCTTTGCACGTGCTGTTCCTGCCTAGTTCCTTCACTTTACACCTCCGCAACTTCCCTAGCATCACTTCTGCAGAAAACTCTCCCTGTTCACACCTCCCTGGGTCATGTCTTCCAGAAGCTGCTCTGTCAAGGAGTCAGCCAAAAAGTACTGGTACACAGTGACTAGAGTATTTGATTCATGTTTGAGTCGCCTACCAAATGATAGGTACGCAATCCATAGAGGTTGGCTTCAACTCTAAGGTTGCTTACAGTTGGGCTATAGGAACATAGAAGAATAAGGGTCGACTATATGTGATGCAAATCAGAGGAGGCTTCCTGTGGATCTGGGCCGTACTCAGAACCTAAGAGGAGGCAGCAAGGTGCAGTACCAAGCCCTGAGAGACTGGATTTGGGTACTGGAGCAGAGCTGAGCAAAAGATCCCCTTGATCTCCAGGGAACATTTGTTCCAGGAACCCTTGCCCCTGCAGGAATGTGTATTTTCACAGGACTTGCAAGGTGACTGCAGCCAGCCAACCCTCTGCAGCCCTGTTAACAGACCCTTCGGGGGCTGCTCCCAGAGGAGCCAGGAGCTGGTCTGGTTTAAGTGGTCAGGTTTCACAACCTCCCTATTATTAGTTGGGCAATTAAGAGGCTGATACCATCTTGAACACAGGTCAGTGTTCGTGGGCACACTTCCTCAACTACTTAAAAAAAATTCTTTTAGGGTCTTTGCCAGATAAGATTGCTGCTTGAGTTATAAATACTGTGTTCCCAGAGAAGCAATAACTTGTAAAACCTCCAGAGGGACCCGTATCTTCATTTACACTGGCTCTTGTCTTAGAGAGTGGAATGGTTTTGTTAGTGGAAACAAGTTTTGTTCGTAACTTTAATTGTGTCAGTCACTTGTACTGAAGTTTTGCCGCCCCTCGTCTTGCTGGTCTAGAAGCTAATTTATGGAACAAGAAGTTAGGAATCTACTCCCACAGGTTTTTATTTAGTGTCTTCTCCTGCAGTAGGGGCGGAGGGAACATTTCTTGCCGCCTCACCTAAATGGAGTACACCTTGTCTGGCCTGTTATCCCTGAAACACAATTCCTACTGCCCCTGCAAAAAAACCCTACTCCTTCAGGAATTTGGGAAGCCAGGATGCCAGCATCCTGGCTTCTTTACAATGAAATACAAGTTTCCCATTTAAGGCAAATACTTCATCTCAAAAGGTAGGAAGGAATAGGGTGGTACTTGGAAAAGAGAAGTTCCAGCTGGTTAAAATTTAGGTTCCTGATAAAAGTCCAATCCAAGAATTATCCTTGGCTGTGGGCCCAGGCATGTTTATTTGATTCTGAATTGGATGCATTTTCATTCACTTGCAGCTCATGGCTCCCAAGCCCACATCTGGTCTGCCTATCCTATGGCCATGTCATCCATGTTACAGATGCTCTTGTGTCTGTTACAGAATTCTTGGTTAAAAAATTACTCAGTCCTGGTTGATACATTTTTTAGAGAGACGTTTTTATAAGCAGTGCAAAGCTTTCTTCCAGCCTCTTTTGCCTAGTTAATTGGGAACTCTCCTGGCCCATGTCCATCTTTCTTAAGCAGCCCTCTCTTCTCTCCCCACCCCAACCCATCCGCCCAGCCCCAAGCCCCTGCAGTGCCTGGGGCATTCTGCTGGTTATTAACTTGGACGTACAGCTCGGTGACCAGAAGACCAGAAGCTACTTTCTCTCCAAGACACCCAGGGCCTTCTAGTATCAGAATTGCCTTAGGACTTTGTTAAAATGCAGATTGAAAGCTAATGGGATCAGAGTGGGAGTGTGGAGCCCAGGAATTGGCATTTTAACAAGTTCCTCTGAAGATACTTATGCTATAACAAGGATGAGAGACCTATTGTTTTAGGGGACAGGGCTTGCACAGTCTGGAGAAGGGAGAAGACACATTCTAAACATTTAAAATCAGAGTTTGGCTTTAAATTATGTCCCTGGATTGAGAGAGGAATGTGGAGACTTTCTCAGAGCCCTGACCAATGAAAGGGGTCAGGCTTGCTGGGTAGTGTGAGGACAGGGGGGTGAGGAGGAGCTGGTTTGGGTGGGTGCCTCTGGCCTGGGGCTGATGAGGAGGCCTGGAGTTGACTTGACACTTCCACTGGGTTCCTCCCTAGAACTGCTGGGTTTGTCTGAAAACAGTCTGAGGAAGGAGTAGCATAGGATCCAAATCAGATTCTCGCAGTTCAAATCTTACAACTTCCCGACAAAGAAAAGAACTGCTAATGCTTTTAAGTATTTTTCATGCTTCATTTGGCCTAAAACATGTTTTTTTTTCTTTTTTCCTTTTTCCTTCTTTAAAGGTTTCAAGGCTTTTTCCTCCTCTGTCCCTGAACTTTTTATATTGTATGCCCCAGCAGATGTCTGCTCCTGCTGGGGCTACCCCATCAACAATTTTATTGTCCTTCTTCATTCCCCACTGCCTTTTTTTCTTTCTTTCTTTCTTTTGAGACAGAGTTTAGCTCTGGCGCCCAGGCTAGAGTGTAGTGGTGCGGTCTCAGCTCACTGCACTCTC